AGGTTGAGGAAAGAACAGGTTTTTTGGGGGGGGGGGTTTCCCTCTGCTCTGAAAGGGGAAAAAAAGTTTAAAAGAAATTAGATCAGAAGACATTTTCTTTTAATAGAAACCAAATCCAATTTCAAAGGCACACAGACAATTTGGAATGTATCCCAAGGAGCTAAATAGATGATATGCCCAGACAAAGTCTCCTGAGGATGGGCATTTGAAAAAGTTCCAGGGCTTAGCCTGCAAGCAGAACTTAGAGCAGGCTTCGGTTTTTCAGTATCTATACAACTACCAGGTGAGATACATGCTTTATTGTGTATCATACCCAAGGAATAGTATGGAGAGTTATAGGCATGCAGATAAGATTTCCTATGAAGAATGGCTAGAACTGTACAAGCACCACACTAATCCGGGGGAAATGTGCCCCAAGATTCCCAGTAGGCATCTGAAACTGGGGCAGTGCTCACACTCTGTGTGCCACTTTCTTTCCTGTGTGTGTATACATATGATCAAATTTAATTTATAGGTTGGGCACAGCAAGAGATGATCAATATGGCACACTGAGAGTTATGTGAATGTGCAGCCTGACTCTCAAAAGATTGAAGACTGTGCCTATCCTTGGAGAACACAGCTGAGAATAAGAGCCCGACACTGTGGAAAGCTGGGCTGGCTGTCAAGAGTACCACTTCTAAGGGAGGAAGTGGCCCATGCCCGAGCTCACACTCGCCTTGAGTGTTCGGGAAGGGAGGAGGCTAGATGTGCTCATGGCAGGCCTGTGCTATAGAGGATTTGTGCCTGGATGGCTGTGCGCTCCAGCACGAAATGAAATACTCCTTCAAGCTGTTGGGAGTCTTCATAAAGGACAAAGGCACCCAATTTCATCCGAGACAAAGCTGTGTTCAAGTCTAGGATTATGATCAAACCTAAGTGTAAAAGAGAGCAGTTAGGTTTCACTGTAGCTGACAAGCATTCCCTGATGAGGCACAGATCTGTATAGCAAGGAAAGGTCATTCCCTACCAGTGGAAGCATCCCTCTTCTGTCTCCTCTGCCCCAGTTCCTCTGGATAACTACTTCAGTGAGCAACAGTGTGGTCAGGAGACAGGGAAAGCTGCTGGGTCCTGAAAACTCATACTGTGATTTCAATCATAGCAACATTGAAAAAAAATAGGTTATTGACCAGTTTTCTTCCGAAATTCATACAGTTGATTATGAAAATAAGTACAATTTTTCCAAACTGAAGTGTTGAGCCCTGTGTACAAAAAAACATGTTTCTGAACTCATAAAGCTTTAGCCCTCTACTGTTGTTTTTATGTCAGCTTAGTGGCTGCACACAAATCTGCTGATATGTTCATTATTGTTCACAGCCCTATGGCTCTGCAGTCAGTGCCCCACCATCCACTCAGGCCACAGCCTGGCAAGACCTCTGATTCTGTGCCCTGGCTCTGCCACAGCCGCAATATGTAGGTTTAAATTAAGTCTATATTATTCTATTTATCAATAAGAATCAGGAGTCAAAGGCTGGGTTGAAAACCTGCTAGCTCAGAGAGGTTGAATAGCAACTAGCTGACCTTGCTTTTTGGCTGGAGATACCACAAGAGACACCTCTCTTCCCTTGTCCCAGAACCAAAAGAAAGCTCAAACACTTCCTGTGCGTCTTCTCTATCCAAATTGACGGCTTTTCTATAGCTAGTTCTGGTCAGCTAGTTACTGGCTCCCGCCCCCCTGATTCAAGGTAAACTTTATTTAACTGTTATTTATTCAACAGTCTCAGAGCATCACAGTGTGATCAAAATGTCCCACAGCACTCTACAACATCTCAAAATGTTGCTAAGCCCTACCTCCATCTCACCTCAGGCCCCAGGCTTCTTTATGCCTTAGTTTTGATGTCCTTGAATTTGGGCAGGTCGGCTCTTAGCAGTATAATGCTGACAGAGGAAGAATTACGAATCTGGGCTTTGTCCTTGTGTTGTTTGTTTGTTGCTGGCTTGTACTTGGGCCCTCAGACAAGCACTGCACTAGCTGGATCCCAGCACCATTTTCTTCCAGTGACAGAGAGTTTTATGTTGGTTTTTAAGTTTGTAGACATCACTTTTTCACTTAATGAAAGGTTTCTGCCTCTGTAAAATGGAACATTAAGATGGTTGTTTCTTTTCCCTCTTGGACTCATCATACCATCAACATTCTTGTTGATGAAGGGAATAAAAATCTTTACTACAAAAGGGCCTTTGAGATGCTTTGGCCCCTGCCACCCAAACCTGATGACCCAGAACCTACAGGGTAGAAGGAGAGAACTGACCCCCGAAAGCTTCCCTCTGACCCCGTATACAGAAGCCATGGTACATATGAACCTACAAACACACACAGACACACACATACATAAATGTAATATATATTTAAATAAAATAAGTCTTTGACTATGTAAACATTATAGTATTAAATAGATTTTCCATTTTAGAATTAAGAAGTAGAGATACATCTTTGTCTCTAACATTATTATTAAAATATAATGCTTGCACCACAGAGTTCATCCATGTAAAGACTGTGCTTCATTGACCTCTGACACATTCACAATTGTATGTCCGTCACCATAGTCAATATTAGAGTGTCTTCACTATCCCAAAAGAAACCTCACACCCTGGAGCCATCATTTTCCCTGCGAGGCCTCTAGTTTGGTGGTTACTTCCTGCCTTTGTGCTGGCGCCTGCAGCCCTCCTGTGGAAGACAAGCCAGTGTTCAGATCACTCCAGTCAGGCCTGCGCTCTCAAGCTGTCCCAGGACAGGGAGGAGCATGGTCTTGGCGGTGCGCTACCACTGACTGACCTTTCTATCCAAGTGCCTGCTATACTTGAGTTTGGAAGACTAAGTTCAGTACTGTCTTTACCAGAAGTTCCCCGTCTCCCAGGAGTGAAGAACTAACTGTATTTCACAAGACAAGCCCTTGGCAGACCAAATTATCCCGAATACCATTGGAATATTCTTCTTCCAAAGAATGTTTGGTAAATAGGTGCATGAATATGAGAACCTACTCTCCAGTTCCCATAAAGGCCTTAATTGAAAACTGACCCATGAACTCTTATCAGAAATGGCAAAAGACTCGTGGATGAAGAAGGACCATTCAGAGTTACTCAAAAGAGCCCATGGCAGTAGCTGTAAAGTGGATAATTTAGTTTAATAAAAAAATCTATGCATTTGAAAACAAATAGAAGAAAGTTTTCCTTCTATGGAAACTAGACTGTCTATGGTTGCAAATATCTGGGCTGTATATTGACTACTATATGGAACCTGTGCCATTTAGGAGTTTTAGTTATGGCACAACATTTAGTCAATTGAATTATGGATGTTGACTCTAACTTTAGGAAACATTTTTATTGCATGTTTTTAGGGGAATTTACATTGAATGATCTTAGGATAAAGAGATATACTGCAGCCAGGTGGTGGTGGTGCACGCCTTTAATCCTGAGCGCTGGCAGATCTCTGTGAGTTCGAGGCCAGCCTGGTCTGCAGAGCGAGCTCCAGGACAGGCACCAAAACTACACAGAAAAACCCTGTCTCGAAAAACAGAGAGAGAGAGAGAGAGAGAGAGAGAGAGAGAGAGAGAGACTGCAGCTTGCTCTTAAGTGGCTTGAGAGTATAATCAAAGTATCCATAGAAAGGGGAAAAGGAAGAAAATTAGTAAAATGTTAGCATGTCACAAGGGGTGTCTTAGAGAGCTTCTAAGTCTGAAATCACAAAAAATTTGTTGAAAGAGTTTAAAGGGTTAGGATTGGGGTTAGTTTTTATCCTGCTTATATGTATATGCACCATGTGTGTGCCTCATGCCTGCAGAGGTCAGAAAAAGGCATCAGAACCCCAGGAACTGGAGTTACAGATGGTTATGAGCCTCCATGTGGGCACTAGGAATAGAACCTGGGTCCTCTACAAGCGTACCCAGTGCTCTTAACTTCAGAGCCATACCTCTATCCCCATCAGCAAAAGTTTTAAGGCAGATGCCACTTAAAAATAAACACCCAAGCTTCAGTCTCTGAGTACAAAGACCATTGTGCGAATCGTATTTATATATAGGCAGTTTGACTCGTTGTTAAAATGCCACTCAAAAAGAAACAGCAGAAACTGAAGTGGATATTATTAGTTCAGTGACAGAAAATTTGACTAGTATGCAGGAAGCCCTGAGTTCAGTCCCTAGCAGAGCAATGATAGTTACTAATTAATTAGATGCTATGTCTTCATTGCCCCTTAATTTCTCCTGTGGGTCAGCCTTTCAGAATGTTGACCCTCAACTATCAATCTCTCTTTCATTTCCTGCTAGCTCCTCCCCGTTTCCTGATAGCCCCTCCTTCTGTCCTGGTCGTCCCTTGGCCCCTCCCTCTTTTTCTGCTGACTCCTTGCTTCAGGTGCTCTTAAGAATTGATGTAGTGAAGGTAGAGACAGATTAAGAGCCATTCTCTGCCAACTTTGGCCACCTCTCCAAAGAGGCAGTTGCTTGTCATCTCAGTCTGCCCTGTAGTCAATGTCTTGCTAGAACCTTCAACCACACCAAAGCATTTTCCCTGGTTCTCCAGTGATGCCAGGAAAATCACATTATCCTCCTAGATTATAGCCTGGAAGCAAATGTTACCACTTCCTTCCAGTAAAGCTCAAGTAGAGTCTTGAGACCTGATTTCAACTGTGGTTAAAGGAAACACAGCCATGTATTGACAGACGTTAAATGACAGGGTGACGTAGGAGTGACTGTGTATGCATGCTAGGAGGTTGCAGATGACCCTCTGGGAACTCGTGGCATATTCTTTGCAAATGTCTTCCAAGATAAAAGCTTCAGATACATGAGTATACATAACCAAATTTAAAATAGATACTAGGATTCCTGATAAGCAAAACAATTTAAAAAAATAAACCTTACTAAAGAGGCCTTGTAGGTTAAGCCCCCTGTGACTCTGAGTGAAATAAGACTGACTGTCTTATCCGGTATGAGTTTATTTGTTAGCCCAAAGTGTGATGTGTGTGTGTGGGGGGGGGGGGAGGTGGGGTGCTGCGTGCGCACATTAACTTGTTTCACTTGTTTCCCACCTAAAAACAAACTCCAAGGGAGCAGGAAGCTGGCCGTGTCATGTGGGAGCTGAGAATAGATATTTTGCTTGAGTGAATGAAAGAAACACAGACCCACTAAACACCACATTGGTTTTGTTCTTCTCTGCTTTGTTGTAGTTGCAGAATTAAGAAAAATCTTCGAACCAAAGAGGAAAGACTTTTTAGAGATGAAAAGGTAATGTACTTGTTTTGTGTCACGCCACTGTTGGGGAGAGATGTTTACCACAGCGGTGTTTAATTTGTCTCGTAGTGGCCTTTTCCACGCTCACTGTGGGTTTTCTTTGGTCTTCTGTGCAGAAAGGAAAGAATTGCCAGGCGCTTAGAGGGAATAGAAAATGACCCCCAGCCCATCCTGTTGCAGAGCTGCACAGGGCTGGTGACTCATAGACTGCTGGAGGAAGATACACCCAGATACATGCGCGCCACAGACCCTGCCAGCCCTCACACTGGTGAGTACGTGGCTACGCTAAGCAGGGTGCTTGTCCTGTCACACCTCACCTGCCTGATCCTGGGATGCTGGAGAATGAGATGCTGGACACCAGAATCAAAACACCAACCAAAGCAGCTACAGGAAGGAAAAGCTTGTCTTGACTCACAGTTTGAGGGGACACAGTCCATCATGGCTGGTCACACACACCCACAGTCGGGAATCGGGATGGATGCTGTTGCTGCTCCCCTGGCTTTCCTCTTTTTCACCTTTTTATTCAGTGGGTTGATGTCACACACATCAGGGCAAATGTTCCCTTCCTAGTTAAGCCTCTGAAAAATGACTCCAGATCTAGTCAAGTTGACGATGTGCATTAACCATCACAGCCAACAGCAGTACACTGTGTGTATATGTAGTCTCTTCAATACAGGCCCCTTTAGACACGATCCGTCAGAGGCACACATGATGTCCATTTCTCCATACTCTCATGGCTCAGCACAGAATCTGCTGTTAAAGTCTATTGGTAGATGTCTGTCTGTAAAGGGGGGATACAGATATGTGCATCGTAGGTTACACTAAATATCCAGATGCCTAGCAGAGGGGATAGCTTCTTAGAGCAGGAAAAGTGAAAAGCAAAGTTGGGCCTTGGATGGCTGCAGTCACTATCCTCAGGATACATGCAACAAGGCTGTCTATTTTCGTGAGTGTGAATGTATTGCATATTGATTTTCAACATGCTGAGCATGACTTAGCTTTTCCTCGGTCATGCCCTGTCACTGTTACGGACATTGTTTACCCCACTTGACCTCAGATGGAACAATACAATTAGGGCTGAGCTTCCCAGCCAGGTCCCAGGCTCAGGCTCTGAGGTGCTGCTTTTCCTAGCCATTGTTTCCAGTTTCCTCTTCAGAGGGGGGCTCCTGATCTCCTAGCATAATGCCCCAGTTTGCTGGTATTGGTGGCTTTTGATAGAGAACTACATGAAAAGCCAAGAATCTATACCCAAAATCAATACCCAGAAACAAATCCTTGTGTACATAATGTCTTCATCCACATAATGTTTAATTTAACCATTAAAGATAGTGAGGAAATTAATTAATTAGTGAAGTTTGTTTTTAGACATTAGTTAGGTAGCCCACACTGGCTTAAACACACTCTCCTCCTGCTTCAGCCATCTGCTGGTGTTACTGGCATGCACAACCAAGAAAGAATTATTTATGAAGATGTTAGGAATTGAGATGAGGAAAGGACATATTCCTCTTTCCATTTCATACAAAGCCCCAAAGTAAATTCTGGTTAATCTTATTATAATTCAAACGAAGTCATTGGAAACTTGAAAACATAGGCATATGTTTCATTCATGTGAACTTAAAAAACAGATGAAGAAATCTCCAAATGATGAATGAGTCAGTATTACTTAGAGCGGTGTAGAAATTAATTTCACAGCCTAGCAAGTGACTGAAAGGTCTCAAATGCCCTCATAAATAATTCAACGTTTTGATGTGTATATGTGTTTGCATGTGTGTGGGCAACTGGGAAAAACCACATCTGTAAGTACAGATACCACTCTGATGACTGTGAAACCACAGTCCATCTCTTGTTAAATCAACAAATGTTCTGGTGTCTGCTGTCTTCTCTAGGAGAATCTGAACCTGCGCTTTGACCCCATAGGAAATATTAAACTCAAAAACAAAACATAAAAATAAATAAAAGGGAATAAACGAGATGCCAGAGGTGGCTGGAGAGTGTGGGGGACAGATGCAGTGTGGCTCTCAGCTTTCCCACTTTTCCTGGGGGGACCCCAGGCTCCTTCCGTCAGCCAGCCTAGATGAGATGGGGCCTTCAGGCTGGGCTGTCTGTGAGCATCAGGCAGTGTGGAGGGCTCTGAGTATGACATGGCTGTCTGGGCTTGGTCCTCCTATGTTTTATCCTGTGATCTTCTTGTAGGGCGATCTAATGAAGAGGAAGACAGTTCTGGGTCTTCCTTAGAAAAACAAACTCCATCTAAATACTGCACAGAAACCTCAGGCATCCACAGTTCGGGCTCCATGGACACCCACAGTCTGGAGTCCAAAGCGGAAAGGATCGCAAGGTACAAAGCGGAGAGGAGGCGGCAGCTGGCAGAAAAGTACGGGCTGACCCTGGACCCGGAAGCTGACTCCGAATACTTGTCTCGATATGCCAAGTCTCGGAAGGACCCAGAAGTGGGTGACAGACGAGGAAAAGGTGACAAGCAGGAAGAACCGAGCAAGGATACCAGTTCCTTGCACTCCAGGGCCGAGCCAGGGCCCAGGACCAGCTTGGTAGAGTCCCAGGACAGCGCCCCCCTGGGGAGCAACATGTCTGACCAGGAGCTGCTGCTCAACTTGGAGAACCAGCGGCGAGTCCAAGAGCCCCCGGTGGCAGAAGATGGTTCCCCCGCCTTCTTTTCTGAGCGAGGCACCTCCTTCTCTGAAGTGCCAAGGTCCCCAAAGCAAATGTCCAGCTCACCACTGCAGCAGCCAGCCTCCCCGAGCCTCCTGGGTGACCCGCCAGTGCCCCTGGAGGCCCGAGCCAGGTAAGCCCTGGGCACTTGTTCCGCCCTGGCTGTCACAGCAGTCTTGGAGGGTCTCCATTCACTGTAGAGATACTTCGTAATTTCTACAGTATCTGACCAAGCCTTCCACACTTCCTGTCTTCCCTCTCTCCTCTGTCGGGGCCTTCGGCTCTCCTTCAGGCAAACTGAGCAGGTATCATGGGACACTTACATAGAGGACTCTTGCTGTGTTTCTGGCCCAACTTAATTTATCTTTTTGTTCCCTTTTTGGTTATGCCCAAGACTTAAGTTTTGGGGGGATGGTTTTGGTGGCTTATGCCTAGAATCCCAAGGCAGGAAGAGTCATAGTAATGGGAGAGAGGTCTTTGTTTATGGCACAGTCTAATTGATAAACACTGAAGGACCAGTAAGGCAGCACTATATAAATATGTACCAGTAAGGAGAGTCACAGCTGAGAGGAAGCCCTTGACAAAAGGACCAACCAGCCAAACACAAGAACAGCTCCTGTGTGGGAAAATGAAAGAAATCAAATACAAATCCCAGAACTCAGAATACAGTCGGGAATGCATGTGTGTTTCTAAATTTAAGTTGAAAAGAAATTGCTGTCCATGTTAAAACACTGTTTACTTAAATACCTGGTTTAAAGGGTCAGCCTGAAGGTCTGGGTGGATTCCTAAAGAGCCTCTTCCATTCAAACGAGCAACAGCTTTATGGGTGAATTGAGATGGGCTGGGAACCTGGAGTCAAACAAACTTATTCTGGGGGAGTTATTGTGTGTGACACATAGATATATGTACACACACATATGTGAACAAATATTTATTATATTTAAGTATGTGTTGGGAACATCTTTTGTTGCTTTCACTGGGACACGGTGGTAAACATCCACTCCCTCTTACATGGCAGTGATGCCCCTGAGGCAAACATTTTAGGTGCTGACGTTTTCTCAGCCCCAAGCCTGTCATCATGCACTTAGTCACGCAGACTCGGATGCTTAGATACTAGCCTCTAAGGTCATTAGATTCTATAAGTCCAAAGGAAGTATTTTGAAAATCTTTATTCAGCCTTGGAACTAAAGTACTTGACGCTGAGAAACAGAGAGACCCATTCCCACATATTTTAAAGAGGGTGTCTTGCCGACAAGTGCGCATTTCATAGTAGAAGTGCTGTGCTTGATTTAGCTATGTGTATCAAAGGAAATCCTGTTCCTATTTCATTTATTTATTTTGTGTGTGCATATATGTGGATGTGTGCATTCCCGGTGTGATGTGTTGTGCTTGTGGAGGTCAAGGGACAACTTGCAGGGGTCAGTTCTCTCCTTCCACCATGTGGGTCCTGGTGGTCAGACTCGGGTCATCAAGCTTGGTGGTAAATACCTTTAGCTAATGAACTGCTCCACCAGCCAGCTGGCCCCCTTCATATAATTTGTATGTAGAACAAAGAACCCCAACAGATGCTGACTTAGAAATAAAAAATAGGTCATGCAGGAAAAGGAAGACTTAAATCTCAGATTTCCATACAAAACCTGTTTCATGTCTCTTCCTTGTATGGGAACAATCTGAAATATTACTAGTGAAATAACAATTTGGGGGCAATATATATTTGTTTTGGAAGTTTTAAGTATTCCATAAAAATAATCAAGAAGGTTTTAAATTAAATATTGGATAGAGGGGTGGATGCTGTAAGGCCCTTAGCTCATCCTATCATGAGCTTGGGAATTGATACACACTTTATTGTGAAGAAAATGAAGACTATACATTCTGAGAAACTGGGGCACTGTAAGTCAGGCCCAGCCCACTTTTTGGATGCTTCCAAACCCTTGGAACTTCAAGGTTTGCATCATGTGAAGAAGGCTGTTCCCAAGATGAACCATGGCTTGTGAATTCGGCAAGAGTGTGGAAACAAAAGCACCAGTACTTCTTAACCAACAATATTGTTATCAGTGTGGTGGATAATCCTGTGGATTTTTTAGCCTTAAAAAATATGAACTCCTGCCCCCACCAAAGTCCTGAACCCCAAGCTCTTGTTTAATCCTTTATGCAACTCTTATTTCCTTATTAAGAAACAGACAGACAGACAGACAGAAGCACATAGTTGTTATTCTGTGAGGGCAAATGCAGAAACTCTCAACCTGGGGTCCCAGCTGTTGTGTGCCTGAGCATCACCCCATATGTGTCATGTAACTAAAAGGAGGAGAGTGAAATTCAACACCCCGTCCTCAGAGCTGACTCTCCAGAAGAGCCTTGTTCCTTACTTCTTCATTACTGCACCCCAGTCCCCCTCCAGCACTGTGTCTCCCAGACTGTGTCCTGGGTGACTCTAACCCGACAGTGGAGAGGTCATGGAGAACAGAGCTGAAACTTGACCTGAAAGGAGTTACCTTTGGTGGGTTATGACCTAGACAAGGCTCGCCTTGGGTACCTGGGGACTAGTAAATCATACCCCGCGCCCTGAGACAGGGTAGCATTCCCTATGTAGACCAGGCTGGCCTTGAGAACTTGCAGAGATCTGCCCATCTTTGCCTGTGGTGTGATTACAGCCATATCTCTCTTACCTGTTACAGTGCTGGAGTTTGATGGCCTGACTTTTCTTTGTTACTTCTCAGAGCTAATCTAGCTTCATATTCTGCACATACCAGGAGCTCAATGATACATGTTAGCCTGAGTATGAGCTTGTATCTGCCCCAGTGGTTGCCTCATTCTGGGATGAAACAACAACATATACTAGCCCAGGAAGGTAGAGCAGAGGCTGGACACAGGAGTTCTTCCCACATTGTTTGCACATCTCCTAATGAGAGCTTTGAGTCCTGAAAAAAAACCTCCAGAACCTCCAGTCCTCATAATTCTGGTTGCTGCTCATCTGTCCATGTTCTATAGAGATGTCTGCAGCGAAGTGTAGCATCTGGCATTCATCTTGTCTCAATTCCCATCAGCTCTGGCCAGCAGCTCTCTGCCATGTCCTGTGGACATCAGGGCAGAGCCCAGGAAGCAGATCTCAGATCCGTTCTCTAAAGAGGAGCCTTCTGCTGCTCCTCACAGATCCATTCTGTTACGAGGGAAATCATGTTCATTTCCCTACTATGCCAAATATCCGCTGTCCAACCTCATCCCACCAACTTTGGCTGCTAATAGAGATTAACTCGTTCCTTTTGGGGTTTCATTTAATTCTGTCCTTACTGGCAAGTGGCAGTTTCATTGAATTAAATACAAACACGGTTCCTAAAGTGCCAGCCTGTAACGTATAGCAGTCGATGTGTGCAAGTGAGATTTCCAGTGTCAGTTGTGCCTAGGACTGTGGCCATTGCTGTACCCACGCTTGTGTGCAAAGCAGCCATCTCCCACACAGGCGACTGTCATCAGTTGGCTAAACTGAATGATGTCATAGAATGCCACCTTCTATAATCAGAGCTGCGTGAGACTTCACTGTCACACAGCTTTTGTTTGTTTTCTTTTACTTTTGAAACAGTGTTTCACTGGGTAGCTCTGGTTGACTACACACAGAGAGTTCGTCAACCTGGGAATACAACTCTCCACTGGCCAATCACACCCAAAGGCCAATCCATTGATCTGGAGTTACTGCTTCCTTGTTCTGCCCCCAGTGACTCCACAGCCCTCTCCCAGTGGAGGTGGCCCCACACAACAGGGACTTGGCTCACTACACACACCCACACACCCACCCCTGCCACCACCGCCACAATAAATTTTAAGTCTGGAGAATGTAACACAGTTGGTAGAGTGCTTACCTAGTATGCACAAAGCCCAGGTTCAATCCCCAGCACGGCATGAGCCGGTTTGTACAGTGGTGGTTCATGCCTGTAACCTGGGACTTGGGGGGTTGAGGCAGGAGTAACAGCCATTCAAGTTCATCCACAGCTACTGCACGAATCCAGGAGAGGCTTTCTGTTTTTTCTCTGTAAATCCTAAGAAGATACAGTCTGTGGCATGGTAATTCTTCCTGTAGCTTCTTTACATTAACAGGCTTTCCTCGCCTATAATATTTACCAAAGGTATCTCAGCTTGGTCTTAATGACTCTGATACATTCCACCTTGCATTGTGTTTGACTGGGTGTTAAGGAACAAGTGTGTAAGTTGGATGCTATCTTAATGGGATGTAAAACTTTTTCATGATTAGGATGAAGCCCCTTCTCACCCTGTTACCTGTGTTTCCTCTCAGAGTCTTTAATTCTGTATTTATACCTAATAGGAGTTAAATAGACATTTGCCTCATTGTTGACCCAGGTTACAAATTGACATTTGTAACTGATTTAATAAAAAAAAAAAAAAAAAGGATAAAAGGGAAGCGTGTAACAGCAGACAAAAGATTCACTCTTTGTTTGGTGTGTATCCTTTTGCATGGACACTTTTTTCGTTTGTCTGTTTACATATGTGCCTCCATGCAATTTATGGAAGTTGAGTTGCCTTGTATTTGAATTCCAACTTCCCATAAGTGTGACCCGAGTATGACTATAACAGACTCCTCAGGTGACTAAACCCATTTTCTCCAGTGGCCTTAGATTCATTTATTTTTCACTTCTTGAGTTTTGTGGTGAGCCACATGACCAAGATATTCCAAGAAGTAAGTGTAAACTCTAAGGGCACCATGTACATTATGCCTTTTCAAAAGCCAGCTTGAGCATCTTAACTAAAAGCAACCTTTGGGTTTTGCTTATAGTAAATGATGTGGGCATGGGCATCAACATTTTTATAGCAATGTCCTAAAGTTTTGTTTCTTGTGCATGGTAGTACAGGGAAGGCCACCCATGAGTGGTTTCTACAGAAAGATGCCGAAGGGGATACACCTTCACTTATCAACTGGCCTTCCAGGTACATCCCAGGTTGGAAGTGTGTGAGCTGGTGCATGGCGGATGTCCTTCTACCCCATCTCCTCTCCTTGCTCTGTCACACTTAACTAACCCTCGCGCTCCTCTCCCTGTTTGCTACGCCTCTGAAAACCATGTGTTCAAAAACAAGCTGCTTCCTAATCATATCTGTTCCCAGATGGCCCTGTGGACATCGACACTTCCTCTCCTTCCTGGTTCGCTTCCCTTTGTCTCTGTCATAACACACTTCCTTGCTTGCTCACTTTCTCACCAACTCACTACAGAACTGGCCAACAGGGGGCAATATTGAACACCTCCTCTGGGCCCTCCTACCCCTCCCACATTCCTTTTCTGCACCAGCTCCGGTTTCCTTGTTTCTAAACCAGTAGCTAATTTTCACTAGTTAAATTTAGGGCATGCGACCTATAACAGACAAACACTCCAATCATTTCATGAAGGGGGGAGGCGGAGAAATTAAGAATGAGCAAGTCACTGGCCGGACAAAGGTCCCATGTATTGAGTTTCTGACCGTGACTTTGTTCTCTTGAGATGGCCTCGGATAAGGAGCACACATTCCACAGGGGACTTGATTGAGCTGCAGCCTTCTGAGCAGTGGCCTCCACTGCTGCTGTCTCGGAGAAGCCATAGCTCCGAGTGCTTTTTTCCAGACACTCACAGTAACTACCTCTATGGGTGTCTTCGGTGTTTCCTTGGGGAACTCTACCGATGATGTCCCGTTTGAAAGCAGAGCTTGTTTTATGAATTTGATACGGCAAACTAGGGCTAAACAGGGCAATTCTATGATGTGATTATTAAAAACAGTCACTTTTGCTCACTCACCTAAGTGAAATGGAAGCTTTACATTTTCCCAAGAAATCTCTTCCCCCGATCCAAAAAGCTGTGTGCACTTTCTGAGAGTTGGACCTGGTCAGTGGTTTTCCCTTTTGCACTATGCCGAGTGGCATCTCAAAAGGTAACAGAAGGGGTGCTTCTCTTGTGGGAGGTGTCATTTGCCTGAGGAGGAAGGCATGAGCTCTCCAAAAGCCTCCACACCTCATGGCACTAGTCCTTTCTTTCCCGGTGGTGGGGACCAAGTACAGGGCCGCACACAGGCCAGGCAGCACCCTCCCTGCAAGCCTGCTGTTTCCGCTTGAAAGGCAAAGCACTGGGGTCTGGGATGGACAGGTAAGGTCCCCCAGCCAGGGTTCTTGATTGGCAGGCTTCTGCAGATGAGAAATGGTCCGCAGCTTTTGACTTCTCTTCCAGTTTTGTTCTCAAATGGTTAAAAATCAGAAACAACAACAACAAAAACAATCCCTCCTTAAGTTGGTTTTTAATTAGGGTGTGGCATCAGTGGTGGTGGTGGGGAGATAAGGGCTCTCGAGAGTCTCTTAACAAATGCCTTCTTCCTAACATTCCTGTGGCGGTATGGTCGTGAGTATGTGCTCAGCGCTTCAAGAGGTAACTTAAGCAATGGAGCTCAGTAGAAAGCTTAAGTAATCACAAATGCCCACATATCCAGTGGACAGTGAAGTGGCTGTGTCTCCTCCAAGAGTGTTTCCTTGGAGCCGCCAGCCACCCCTCACAGCCCACACCTGGGTCTGGACTTGCACAGAGTCCTGACCTAGACATTGCCTCCTTCACACTAATGCTTACAGTGATGTATATGAATGAAGCTTCCTGGGGCTGCCAGGGGTTTCATTGGAATAAGCCCATTCTCCCTCAGGACAGCATGTGACTCTCAGCTTAACAGGGGATGAAACTTTTGGGCCACACTAGAGTATGAGTGCAAATTTGGAGATTTCACTCCGTTTCAGTGGCAAGTACTAGGTGTCCGTGTTCGATGCCCAAATGTGTTTTCACACATTGTTCTCTCTGCATTGGCTCCAGTGCCATCCGTGGTCTGTGCATGCTCCCTTCCCCTTGGGTGATGACTACACATGGCAACGTAAATCCTGTTTTTTTCTTAAGAGTTAAAGTTAGAGAAAAATTGGTGAAACAGGAGAGTGCTCGCAGCAGCCCTGAACTCATCTCAGAGCCCTTAACCCAGAGGAGACCAGGACCAGCGCATTTCCTGTCCATCCAGTCAGAAAGCTCCGCCTTTGATAGGGTCACCAGCAAGGTAGTGAGCCCACTACGGCCAAGCCGGAGCTGTGTCCTGCCAGCTGACCCTGTTCATGCCATCAAGCTGGTGACCGTGGATACCCCAGAAAGCGCATCTGAATCCAGCTGGGTGGGGTCAGCCACCCCAAATGTCATAAAATCCACCACCCTGAAGATTCTAGAAGGTGGGTCGAGGGACGCTCCAGAGCTCCACATTTGTGAATCAAAAGTGAAAGATGTGCCTCCCCTTGAACCTCTGGAGAGGAGCCCCAGATCCCTCTTGACCTCCGAAGATGGCAGGTTTGTGAGAGGCCACGAAGACCCCTCTGGTCATGAAGATTTAGATGAGCCCAGGGTTCGCTCCATCACCATAGAACCTGAGAGGGAGTGGCGAGTTCAACACCAGCCCGCTCAGAGAATTGGCCGGAGTGAAATGGTTCTGTATATGCAGAGTGGTCCCGTGTCCCAAGATGCCACATTGACCAGTCACACAAAAGAGGCCTCTCCAAAGAAACGCAAGGTTTTGGCCCGGTCCCTGTCGGATTACACGGGTCCCCCTCAGCTTCAGGCCCTCAGACACAACAAGGACGAAGCCCCAAAGCCGGAGCTGGAGCTGCCGAATTCCAGGGCAGAAGGGTCTGGTGCAGAAGCTAGCATGCTGGACACCAGAGTCTCCGTCGCCCAGCTCCGAAATATGTTTCTGGAGTCAGCCAGAGCCAACAAGAAACCTGAACTGTAGGTGATGTTCCCAACATCCTTCCAATATGTCACTTGCACGTCCTTGGCAGACGATTCACATCTCCACCTGTGGTGTGTCCTGTTAGCTTAGCTCACAAGCGTGTGCAGGGCAGAGTGTACAGGAAATGGCTCACACACTACCATTCTGCTTCTGCCTACTAATTGGGATCTGGAGGAGTGGGTCTCTGGAATGTTCCACCTGCAGATGTGATACGCATGCTAGCAGCATGTAGAACCTAGTGCTGTGTCTTACACTGAGATGCATAAACCTTTTCTCTCTCTCTCTCTCTCTCTCTCTCTCTCTCTCTCTCTCTCTCTCTCTCTCTCTCTCTCT